AAGACACATCTCTTCCTGACAGGGATAAGGTCACTTGTCATAAAATTGTATGTGCTGTCGAAAATTGATATGTAACCAGTGAAAAAAGTAAAACCATTTAAAACTTTAGATGTGTGATAGAGATACTGACCTTTTCTTCCACCAGATTATATATATATATACAAGTTACTTCCCGTTTTCTTAAATTGTGAGTATGTTTGAAAAGGCAATCTCTGTCACAATTGGTACATTTCTTTAATTACCTTGCTATAAGTGCATTTTAATTTTCATTTCTAATACTTGAGCTATTAAGTAAACTTCCTTAAAGCAAAGAAACTTTCATCATCAAGAGATTTCTGAAAAAGAAATATACCTTCAGTAACGGGTACAAAATAAGTTTAGGGATCTTTTACTTCTTTTGAAATTATGCAAAACAAAATATCTAGAATAAAGTAAAACTTGTAAAAATGGGTAATAAAGTATAGGTAAAAAGGCAGACTGAAAAGCAGTATGTATGGAAAAATAGTACTTTTAAAAGTAAATTGCTATAACATTTATTTTTATATTTATTTACATATATCTAGACATTCCAAATAACATCTAAAGGTATGAAAATTAGAAACTAATGAGGCCTACAATTATCCGAGTTGTGATATTATTTGTTATTTATTTTCCACTGCGTTTTAATATGTGTTGTAAGTTTTCTGCAGTAAGCAAGTGTCATGTTTAAAATTATAAAATACGGGGCGCCTGGGTGGCTCAGTCGTTAAGCGTCTGCCTTCGGCTCAGGTCATGATCCCAGGGTCCTGGAATCGAGCCCCGCATCGGGCTCCCTGCTCCGCGGGAAGCCTGCCTCTCCCTCTCCCACTCCCCCTGCCTGTGTTCCTGCTCTTGCTGTCTCTCTCTCTCTCTGTCAAATAAATAAATGAAATCTTAAAAAAAAATAATTAAATAAAATAAAATTATAAAATAGTATGTCAATATAAATTTTAAGACAGCCTATTTTAAGCTTACAAACTATTGTTTTTGATTTTTCATAATTTTTCAGGACTTATCCTTTAATTGTCTTTCATTGATCTCTATCTCCTTGAGTTCTATATTGGGCAAGGTTAAGATAATTGAGATGGGAATTAGAAATTCCCAGTTGGTATCTTAAATCAGTTATATTTTGGGTGGCCTCAGATGCTTCTTAAATTTATAGAGATTGGATTAAAGCCAAAGAAATCTCTTTCCAAATTCTCAATGCCTCTGCATTGGCTTAGTACTTATTTAGGGGCATTTTTTTTAATGAATATAAATAATTAGGATTTATTGTGAGTTTTTAAAATATAAAAATATGAAGAAGAAGACAATTTCACTACTTTTGGATAAGTACTGGTAGTGATGCTTTGAACATCCTTTCTTAGTATAAATATATACTTTAAAAATGAAGTGGAATTATGAGGGCAGGGATTTTTTTTTTCTCTATTTTATTTCCAGACATATCTCCAGCACCTACAATATCATCTGATCCATACTGATGACCGCCAACATTTGATGAGTTAATGAAATGAAGTTTTGCATATTCCCAATTTCCCTCATTCTATATGATTTCCCCATATCTCTAAATATTCTTCACAACCATTATTTTTAAATGAACATCTTCTTCCCCATTTTTTAAATTCTATCTTTCAAGGAAAACCATTGTCAATATTTTTGGGTGTTTCTCTATCATCTTACCTTCAGAAGCAAACACCATACACCCTGCCCCCCCCAGGTCATAAGATGTCCAAAGCAATGGAGTCAACTTATTGGTTCATATGTGTGAAAAGTCAGGTGCCACAGCCAGTTTAGGGCATGGTTTTGTCAGGACTCTTACATGTCCTCTTCATGATTCTCCTCCCATCTACACCCTTCCTCCAATGTTGGCCCCAGGCTGATCCTTTCACAATAGCAAAAATGCACAACAGTGACCAGGGCTCACCACAGGATAGCTTCAAGAGCAAGAGAGAGCTCCTCCAGCCATCAAAGATGATGTTTACCTCCACTTTGAGAAGGGAGACTATTTTCATGTAGCTTAACTATCAGAATTTAGAAAGCTGCCTTCCTAGATAGTTTACTCTTTGCTCCAGGAATTTCTTGCTCAAGAAGATAACTCTGTAAACCAGTCAATAATGCCATTGTTTGTTGACAAATTAGTCAAACTGTTCCCTTTTCAAGACAGTATTTTGTTCATTTGGGAAAACACTCTTTTTTCTCAGGACCACAGGTTATTTAGCTGAGTAAACGGTGCACTTTCCAAAACATTGTTTATTATTCAGGATTATTTCAAGGTCCTCACCTCATGGCATGCACCAATCTTAAACTAATATTTTATACACTTTGCCCCAACCTACTCTATTGAAAGGCCCCATCCCTCTATTGAAAAGCCTGACTTAAGCCATCAAACCCAGAGTGTGAAACCCTATTCTGACTTTCCTATTTTGAAATGATACCAAGACTCAGTCAAGGTAGTACTTTCCTTGTTATTGTGGGAACAAACTCGGCTTTCATGACCTACAGATATTCTAGTAGCCTTTTTGAAAATTAGTACCTGGCAATTTTGATGAAACCATGGCCAAAATTCAATACAGAGATTGGTCTACCTTTCTGTCTGGACCTAAATTTATCCCTCTCTCAAGGAGCGTGGGACCACTCTCAACAACTACAACATACATACATCTATGTATGTATGTATGTATGTATGTATGTATGTATGTATCTATCTATCTATCTATCTATCTATCTATCTATCTATCATCTATCTATCCATCTATTTAAATTCCTAATCACATACCAGTTTTCCTCCAAACCTCCACAGTGAAATCTAAGTGAAGATTAAAAAGAAAACATCTGTGTGCTAGAACAAATCTAGCTGAACATTTCTAGAAATCATAAAAAACAAGGATGTCACACCTAAATGCATTTTACTAAAATGCTTTTGTAATTCATTTAAAAATCATTTCAGTATTTAAATCACTGTATTGGTTGATTGTGTTATACTCACTCATCAAAATATTGTTTTGAAAAACTTTTTCCAATAGTCTTTTCTTCAAACCAGGAACTCATATATTTGCCAAAAAATAAATTGCATTCTATCCTTGAAAGCATTGAATCCATTTGACATATAAAATGCATTAGGTTCGAGTAGAGGCCAGACTTAGCCAAGTGTTTGCACTCATCCTTGCTCTTTAAGCTGGTGAACGTAGGACCTAATATATAATCCATGGTTTTAGAATTGCTGTGAAATGTGTTAAAAAAACAACAAATAACTTTAATATTTATATCTCTAAGTTTGATAGCATTTTTAATTCATTTTGCATCATGGAGCAGTTTCTTCTAAATGCTATTTCATAGTTTATTGCTATAACCATATAACCATTGAATTATATATCAAAAGTATAAAAAACCTTAAAAATAGCAAAACTTGTGTATCTCTTCTTTGACTTACTCTTTTCTTGAACACTTCTTAGAACAAGTCTATTTCTTCCTGTATTCATGATGGATTGATTAAATTCTTTTGATCATCTCTTTGCCCTTCAACATGAGAGAGAAAATATTCAGTTGCTGAAATTCTTGGAATAACATCCAGTTTAAAAGTAGACATTTATTTAAAATCTACCATCTTCTGGGGGTAGCATTATATCTGGGAAAAGATTCAGCCCTTGCCCTCAATGAACTCTCATTAATCTTTGGAAGCAAAAGAGCCCAGTATGTTCTATTGCAAGATAAGCAATGGAGAAATATACAGGGTGCCTTTGAAATACATAAAAACGTGTTTAATCCAGGAGAAAAATAAAATATTAAAATATGAGAGCAGAAACAAATCTTAGACACTCTCCTGCAGAACTCCTGTAATATTATAGTTGGGTAGAGAGCAAAGGGAATGAGAGATTTCCGGAGATGGTCAAATTAGTTCATGGCAGATAGGGAGTGGTGGCAAAAATCCAGGTTTCATTATTTCTGGCCTCTGACATTATTATTATTGTTATTGTTACTATTATTATCATTATTGAATGTCAACCCTTTGTGAACCTGTTTAGGTAAATCCTTTATAAATCTCTACCTCTGGGCTTCAGAATTGTCTTCCAC